TAATATAAATTATATAATTTAATATAAATTTAAAAAAAATTTTATTAATATTCTTATAATAATAAGTTAATACTAAAAATTATACTACTAATAGAATATAAATAAGAATAAAAATATAGAAGAAATATAGAATACAAATTTGATAACATATTTTTTAAAAAATATTGTAATATTGTAAAATATTATTAAGAGAAAGGAAATGTAAAAATATAATAATAAAACTTTTAGAGAAAAACTAATATAATTTTCTAAAAAGACTTCTAATAAGACTAATTAAATAATGCAAGAAAAAATTGATCTAGAATTGGGTGAAAAAAATATAATTGGAAAATTTTATTTATTAATTTTAATTTTTCAAAATCGGAGACATGTAGGTACTTACTGAAAGAAAATCTTAAGAAAAAGAAAAAATTTTTGTCTGAGGAAGTTATATCAGATAATTGAATTTGTGAAAGAAATTATAAATCTTAGTAATTTTTTTAAATCTTTGACGATTTATCCATACCAATAACTTGTACAACGTTTAACATGATAGAAACGTTAATGATTTTGCAAACAAAAACCGGTTTACTTAACTGTCAAAGAAATATATTAAGAAATTTATTGTTATTTATTGTCTGCCAACTTGAAACTTGTATTTAATGAGATTGTTAAGGAACAAAGAAAGTTTTTCATAATTTTCTTTACACATATCTGAAATTTCACAAGTTTTAAAAATTAAGAAAAATTGCACATTGTTTGCGGACATGAATATCTTGTAGATATATTTATACGAAGATGTATAAATACAAGTATTATTAAAAAATTGTAAACTTTTTTGCATTTACAAATTAAAAATATAATAAAGTATTGGAATATTATGTAGATCTCAATCTCATAGATAATGCTTTTCAATTTAATCATTATAATTTCTATAGAACTTATTGATATGAAACAATATTCTATATATACATATATATATATATATATATATATATAATTAATTTAAATTGTTTTTATTGTATTACCAAATCATTGTATATTACCAAATCATAATCATATGATTTTATTGTTGTCTAGGAAATTATTTTATGAATATTCATCTCTTTCCTTTAGTTGTTTGTTACTTTAGATTATTATATTAAAAATTGTTAAAATTATATATATGTTAGAGATTTTAATAAAAATAATATCAGTTTGATTGCCAATAATTCGCCAAACTATTCAAAAACTGCTTCGAGAACGATTCCTCGCAGCTGCAAGAAAATATTCCGGCGAAAGTTCACAGCTAAAGTTATTGAAGAAGATTCGCCCGTAGCAAGTAAACTTCCTAAGAATCTTGCTTTTAACTTTTGACTCCTCAACCGCTTTCTTCAATAAATATTTATATACATATATGTAAAAGGAAATTATATGATTCTTTAGATATTCTTATTGAAGACAGTAAAAATATTTCCAAAGATTTAGATGATATATATGTTATTTAAAGTCAAGAGAATTGTAATTTACATAAAATAAATTATTTCCAATCAATCCAATTTGTTCTAGATTCTGAGTGTATCTTCTATCATCGCTACCATTTATATACTTTGACTTCTTTCTCTTTAAATAGTATATTTCACCCATTTTGTACTTATTCTGTATTCATTTCAAAATCGTATTTCCTTTACTGCGTTTTATTCTGCTAGCGCTACACTCTTCGTTTTTTCCCTTCGACGATGAAAAGTCCCACTTTTCGGTAACAAGCGCCAAAACCGCACAGGTTGAAGGCGATTAAAGTTGTTTTCCGAGAGGCCGAAAGAAGCCGTTTGTTGTCGTTTGTCGTCGTAGCCGCAGAAAGGGGGTATAGAAAATAAGAGAAAGCTGAAAAGAGAGAGAGGATACCAAAACGACCCAGAACTAGTCCAAGCAAGAGAAAAGGGGTTGAGAAAACACGAAACACGATTCGCCGTTTTTACGGACAATCCGCTCGTAAAACTTCGACCGGAATTCGATTTGAAACTTTCCGCGATCTCATTTGTATTCTTTTATTCAATGAATCGTCTGTTCGCTATCGTAGCTATGCGGTCAACGAGCCAAATAATTCGACAATGCATCGTGAGTATCAGTGATAACCGCAGCGATAACGTGATGAATGATTTGTTTGAAACTGAAAAGGTTCTTTGCAGATTCTATTTGCAAATTTGCACTTAAGATTTGTATAGTTAGTTATTTTAAACGTGAATTTATTTTAAAATTCAAAAATAATTTTTAATTTAAATAATTAAGTATTTGTCCTTGTAATTTTTAATAAACCTTAATAAAATATATCTCTTTAGTCAATATTTAAAAAAAGAGAGAGAATCTCAACGCGGTGTTACCGCATTATACGTTATTGTAAATATATGAAGTAAAGCGAATATTTCTTGAAATATTAAAACTTACAAATCAATAAAATAAAGAATATCATCAAATTAATTCTACAAATAGCGACCAAATTTATATTAATTGGAATAATCGAGCCGAAGAAACCGCCATCATCTTAACACATCTTTCGTTTTCTGACAACCAAACAACCGTTAACGGAATCGATGCCATTTTCGAGAAAGGAGAACATAATGGGGATTGCTCTCGCGGATATAATTTGTTGGAATAATCGAGGTACGGCCGCTGCAATTCGAGACTGACGCAGCTTACGAACGGGTAATTAATACGAACGGTAGTGCAATTATATACGCTGGTACATTAATTCGGCGTAACGCTCGTGCCGACAAACCGGCGGTGCAACCGGCGAATCAATATTTTATTCGTAATTTGTCACTCGCTCGCTCGTTCTCGTTACATTCGCTGCCTGTGTGCGTGTGTAAATGCGCGTCCGCGTGTGTGTACGAATTTAACGACGAGACCGACCACGGAGTGGGCGCGATACGCGATTACCATTCAGGTAGGAATTAGTTGCGATAAATCAATCCGGAAGGCGCGAGAGTTTTTTTCCGATGGACGGAATACAATACGGCGCGCGTATTGCGAAATAAAAAGAATTATATTATAGCGGAATTTATAAAAGAATACTGAAGTCCGAGACTAAATCCTTTCGCTATTTTAATCATATTAAAATTCGCAAAGTTCAAATAATCTTTTATATTTCGAATGAAAGAAAATTTCTATGAATATTTTCGTATAACGATCGTGAAAGAGAACGAGCAAAAGATTATTTCAGAACAACCGCAATTAAAATTTTCATTTGATTTTGCGAAGTGTTTGCAGATAAGTGTTTGCAGATTTATCAATAGATAATAAAACAATTAATAATCTTTTGTACATTTTGTAAAATATAGAAAACATATGAACTTTGAAAAATCATTCTTTTCTGAAAGTTGTTCTTTATTTTTTTAGATATTAGATAAACGTGAATAAACATGTGCAAATTGACTCAACCCAATTTTATGGCATACTTTTATGGCATACTTTTATTTTTCTTCTAATCAAGCGGTTTTCATTTTCACTATCACGTTAGGTTCAAGTTGCTCGGTAATACGCACAACAGTCAAGGTGAGAATCTCTCGCTGTAGCATGAGGATTCGAATAGTCCACGATTCGTATCGCGATTTCTATATCGAGGTCGCTCAATTAAGCCCTCTTCCTCTCGCGAGAGGCGGCTTTGTATAAAGGGTCTAAATCCGGCAGGATCTAATGCCAGCGTTTCCAAGGGTAATTTATAGCCAGCCATTGTACTTCGAATGGCTCTCTCTCTCCCTGTATCACCGGGGGTACCAGGGAACGGAAGGAAAGGAAGGAAAGAGACAGGAAGACGCAGGCAGCAGAGGAAGGTAGTAACGGGATGAGCAACAGGAGAGAAAGGGAGGTAGGATCGACCGTTGCAGATACATCTGACGGGCTGAAGGGTTGCCGGGGGAGCGCGAGAAGGGGAGAATAGTGGCTGGCTGGCTTCTACTACTGGCAACTCGGCGGCATTGCGTATTGTTTCCCATTTCTATTTGCTTTACAGCCTCTCGCTTCTTTCCGCTGTACTTCGTTTTACTTGCGCGAGCGCGCACGGTTTTGTGTATTTGCGTATTTGTGCATTCCTTCTGTTTACATCTTAGCGTCTTTATCGAGCGAACGACGTCTGGTTACGATGATATGCAGAGTATCTCAAAGCTATCACGCTACAGTTTCCAGTCATAATTGATATTTCCATGTTCTATTCGTGTAGTTTTTGCAACACGTCGCTGTTGAAACGCTGTTGAAATGAAAATTTAGAACTAATCTAAAAAAGCAAATAGTATAATTATTTCTGACACATAACATTAATATTAATTTGTATGAAATGTCCAAATTACAAAATAATAATTTTAGAATGACACAGAACAATAAATGATAGTATAGTAAAAGATGACAATCAAGAGAAATTAAATAACTATTATTTTATAAGGATTGAACAGAGTGAAACAAATTATATAATACTTTACAGAAGAAACTTACCGTTTTTATTATTATATTATATTTAGTGTAAAAATATATATATATATTTAGAAATTTATGAGTGTTATAAGAAACAATATATTATAAGAAAAATATTTCATAAAAAAAATTCTGTTGCAATTTTTTAAAGCACAGTTGCAGTTAATAATGTTATAAAATATATTTAATTTTAAATATATGTTTCTCTAGAAGTATCTTGAGTATTCTAACAATTATTGTTTCAAAAACTTATATTATTAAATCTGCAGTCAAAATATTAAGTCTTTTTTACATCTTATGTTTATAGATTAATATTTATATATTCTTTTCGCATTATATAAAAGTGACAAATTTCACAATATATATAATATAATTAAATTTATCCTCTTTCGTTTATTCATTTCAAGATAACATTTCAAGATATAATTATTTATTTTCAGTAACTTCTTGTTATCTTTTCTATTTCTATAAATTTCTATAAATTTATTTAACAAATTACTTAGTAATTAAACGTCTGTTAATTAAATAATTAAATTACAAAACTGTTATTTTGCGTTTTTTCGTTAAATAAAGTTGAAAATGGAATGGATTTACAATTTACAAATATTTCATTATTGAGCGATATTTGTTTTCAGTCTGAATCGATATCCGTAGGAGTGTAAGCAAATAATAGAAGTCAGCGATGTGGTCAGACGAATCTTTTATGAATGAACGCGACATGCGGCATTTTTCGGAAGCGAATGTGAAAGCGCACGTGGCGATGTTGCTGCGTTCCCGCGCCTGTCATCTATCATACGTGCGGTGACATCGATGTCGCGTATTTTTTTTGAATTCCTAGATAAATTAAATGATGCTGACATGCTCGAAAAGGTGCCTCCAATTGACATTGGCGATACTCAAGCCGCATGTCGTGAAATCCCCGTTTGCTCTTCAGGTACGAACTTAACCTCGCTTACAAGGAACAAGAATGTAGGTTAAACTCTGCAGGATAACGGGGGAATGATAATCAATGATCGTTAATATCGAAGGAAGGCGATCTGGAAGATTTAATAACTGAAGCTCGCCTTATTTTTTCAGAAAATTCGCGATTTAATAATCGACAATAATTTCAAAATTGTCAGATCGCGCAGGATGACAATATCTCGCGAGGAAGCCGAACTGTTTTATAAGGAGCACAGGAACAAGTTTTTTTATAATCGTCTCTTGACTTTCATGTGTAGCGGTCCATCTGACATTCACATTCTGGCAGCTCATGACGCTATCACTAAGTGGAGACAGTTGATGGGCCCTACCAAGGTTTATCAAGCACAATACAGTGCACAGGATACTATAAGAGGAATGTTTGGACTATCGGATACTAGAAATGCTACGCATGGATCTGGTAACTAGTATTATACAGTATCGAACATATACGATAGAAACACTATATTAAAAAAAAAAAAAAATTCTCACTAGATTCCATAGAATCTGCCAAAAAGGAGATAGCGATATTCTTTAAAGATTTTAACATGAAGAAATGGTATGACAATGAGGAAATGCTTTATAACTTAGGAAGACTGCATTTTGATCCAATATCATTTGTACACACCATTGACAAGAGTTATGTTCAGAATGAGCAGGTTATAAAATGATCGTGTACATCATTAATTTATTAAATAAAATATTGTATTTTTAATAATAAGAGATATTATTATACAATCTACACAATTATTAGTAAAATTCAGATTGTACTTGTATGAAAATAGTTCAATGTATCTTTGTTTATAGAATTTCTTTAATTAGACGCGTCAATCAGATTAAAATAGTTAAATTTTTCGTGTTACTTTTGTATGAGTGCGCGCGCAATGTATATGTACATGTGTTTGTGCAATTATAATTTTTGCCATTTTACAACAATAAAATACAATTATGTATTTATCATACGAACTTTTTGACATAACACATGCGAATGTCTTTTGGGTTGAAACGGACGGACAGTCAGGATTTTTAAACATACACACTGTTCTGATTGAAGCAATGCAATTTATGCATTTATCTTCACATATACTTTTGGACGTGAAAATACTTTGATTCCCTCTTCTAGTTTATTCAATTGCTTTTCTATTTCGACCTTGCGCTTCTGTGCTCTGAGGGTATCCGTTTTTATAGGCATCATATTTAATTCGTTGACGTAATCTTGATAATCTGCATTCCAAAAATACAGTTCAATGAATTCAAATAATGAAATAACATTCAGAATAAATAACGTTATTGGAATGCTATTCTTAATATATTATAGATACATACTTTTTTTTAATAGTCGTAGTGTCTCCTTACGCTCGTGATCAGGTAAGGGTACATGACCCTCTGGACAGTCAGAATGCAATGCTTCCGCTTTGGCCTTCTGCTCTTTTTCTTGTGCTTCCTTCCTATCTCGAAGATATCTATTTAAAAAATTATTTGAAAATCAAATTCATTTTTTGATTTAACAACATTAGATTAATAAAATTAAAAATATAATTCTCTATTGTTTTATATATA